GCCCATGCCATTTGAGTGCGCGGCGGCGGCGCTGCCTGCCGCCGGGAGCCCGCACCAGCATCGGCACCCGTCGGCCTGGCAGGCCTAAGCTGCTAAGGATCCCCACGTCCCCCACCACGTTGTGGGGGTTGCGTGTCCGGCAGGACGGGGAGCGGGGCCAGGGTGGGGTGACCCTGGGACGCTCAGCTGGGGGGAGGGTGGTCGGAGCCATGGAGAGGGTGCTCCATGGTCCACCCCCTCTCTTGATGCCCCTTGATCACGTGTGCCCCCTGCCCAAGGTCTGCTCACGCGGCCTATCATAGCGGGGTGACTGTAACACAGGGTTTTGCTTGGCCCCTGTGCCTCCTCTGCTCCCTGCGCCGCAGCCGGCGACCATGGCAACCCGCTGCTGGCCTGCCTGCTGGATGCCCTGGGCGAGCCGGGAGGTGCAGTGCAGGCGGCTGCCGCTGCGGCCCTGGCCCAGGCAGCAGATTACCTGGCCCCCCTGGAGCCTTCGCCGCTGCGCCAGTTGCTGCGGATCCTGGACAACCCCCTGTTTGGGGGCCGCCCCGAGCTGTGCCAGGCGGTGGCATGGGTGGAGGCCGGACAAGTGCGTGGCCTGGTGGCTTCCTCCTTCCACGCGCTGCTGGGTCTGATGCCAGAGGTTCTAGGCAGCGCGGCAGGTGAGGAGCAAAGCACCATAGGTGACCAGACAGCGAGTGGCCATGCATCCATTTCACTTACTGATGTATTACCTCACCCAGATGCTGGGCCTGGCGCTGCAGGTGGTGGGGGCCTGCTGGGAGCGCTGGTCAGCAGAGGCAAAGACTTCCAGCTGCGCGCCGCCGCTGCCCACACTTTGAAGGCGCTGGCGGTGGGCGTGGGGCCGTACGCCACGGGCTGGGACGCGGCTGTCGCGGCGCTCAAGGCAGCCAAAACCGACGTCAGCAAGCCGGTGCGGGATGCTGCTATCGCGGCGCTTCCATGCGTGTCGGCGGTCCAGGAGTTTGTTGACAGCAGGTTGCCGCCGGAGCAGTGGCCGGCGGTGTGTGGCAGCCTGCTGGCTGCTGAGGCGGGGCGGGCCAAGCAAGGCGGTCAGGGGACAAAGGCCAGGACCCCGTGCTGCGGCAGCAACCCAGCAAATGTGGTGGGGCCAGGGGTCGCAGAGCGCATCCCAGCGCTGCACCCTCCCCACCCTCCCGTCCAGCTGGCTGTGCCTTGCGGCATGCCGCTGGGTTCAGCCCCCGCAGCAGCGGCGTGTTATCCTGCTGCTGCGCCTCCCTCCTTTCAGGCAGCCGCTGCAGCAGGGTGGATGGCTGCCTGCTTTCCTGCTGGCCCAGCGATGCATGGTGGATTGCCAGTGCTGGCGACAGGCCCGCCGGGCCCGACACCCATACAGCCTGGCGCTGCCATGCCCGACGCCCAGCAGCTGGCGGCACAGCTGGCGGCCATCCATGCGCAGCAGGCGAGCATGGCGGCCGCCGTCACCGCCCTCACCAGCTCCACTCAGGAAGCACTGCACCAGATGCAGAACCACCTGGCATCTGTCAGCGCTGGCGTTGCGGCGCTGGCTGGGACGACAACCCTGGGGTGCCAGCAGCAGCCCGTGCAGCACCTGCAGCAGCATCTGGCCTCCCTCAATGCCGGCATGGCGGCACTGGCTGTGGACAGCATGGCAGCGGAGCAGCAGGTGCACTCGGTACTGGCAGGGGCGGCAGGGCCGCCTGCGCGCCCACGTGCAAGCCCGAAGCGCCTCTCTTCGCTTCACCGATCTTACCAAGCGCTGGAGCAACTTCAGGCCCATCACTTCCAGCAGCCGCCGGGACAGCAGCGGGCAGCTGGCTGTGCGCCTGCCCTGGCAACAAGTGATGGCCCGGACTCGCCATCAGGCCTGGCCACTACCTGGAGTGCCCAGGGTCTTTTGCAGGCCCCATGTTGGCGGGACACCTATGCGCAGCTGCTGAGCGGCGGCGGCCCCACCAGCGACCAGCAGCTGCAGCTGCGGCTGCTGAGGTGCATGGCCAAGAGCGGCCCAGTGTGGGAGCAGCTGGACGCCAGCATCGGGCAGCAGCTGATGCAAGCCATCACTGCCTTTCTGCAGGCAAGCCTGCAGCAGGATGCGGGACCTGGCAATTGTGAAGGTGGCTATCCCCTGGGGCCTCACAACGCCTCATGTGTGTGTGCAGGAGGGCATTGCCTTGAAGCGTGTGATGCCCTGGCTGTGGCCTCTGGCCGACACAGCCAGCGCCGCTGCCGCCGTTGCATCCACTTTCCCCGCCAGCGTGCACCAGCTGCTGGTGGCCGCCCTGGCCGCCTACCCGCTGCCTGCCACAGAACACCAGGCAGGGGAGGCCGGCGTCGCCGCCTCTCATACCAGCAGCGGCGGTGGCAGAGGGCAGGAGCTCAGCGAGAAGCGGGACCTCTTGGTATCCAGCCTGCGTGCCGTGTGGAGCTGAGACTGCTAACCTCTCGCCTGCTCCATTGGCCAATGTGGGATAACATACTACCGGCAAGGCGATTGTGTTACTACAGGCAAGGCGCACACACATTCTAGAGTCGCAAGGCAGATCAGCTGGCCGAGCGGCTGGGGCCTCCGGCATCTTTGCCTGATGCCGACTCCCATGCTGGCACAAGCTGCGAAACGCCGCTCGCTGCCTGCACCGCCGCCTCGCCGCCCGCCTCCTGTGTCCTGCCGGCCAGCGGCAGGCTGCACAGGACTTGGTAGTACTGCTGGGGCTTCCTGCCCTGCATGGCGCACAGCTGGACCTCTCCCAGCACCGCCCTGCCTCCCGCTATGGCCGCATGCTGCGCCCAGGCCTCGGCAGGAATGACCCGCCATTCGCGCCTGTGCCCCGGCCGGCCCCTGCCGCCGCCGCGCCTGTTCTGGCTGAAGCCCTGCAGCTTGCTGGTCTTGGCTACTGTCACGTGGGCCAAAAAGGCCTGGCCCGCCTGCAGCAGCAGCCCCTCCTGCTGGAAGTGCGCCCGGGTGGCGGCCGCCAGACGGGTCAGCTGCTCCAGCCCCGCGTCCCGCCGCACGTCGAGGTACAGAACCTGCTGGCCAGGGTTGAGGTGGGGCAGTGGGGGTGCAGGCCAGGGGTGGGGTGGGCCACTCTGGTTGGTTGCGGAGGAGGGTCGCACCTAGCCGGCAGGGCCACCCACGCCCGTTCCAGGGGACGCAGCGCGAGATGCGCAGCGGCTAGGCAAGGTGACCATGCGGCACCAGGGCGCCACCCCTCCCAGCTCCCACCTGGTTTCTGAAGTGGCTCAGCCCTTCCAGATGCACCTCCACAGGCGACAGCAGCGCCTGCTCCGCCAGCGCCGCCGCCAGCCCTGCCATCGCCTCGCACGCACGCCGCCGCTCCTCCTCGCTGCCCAGCGCCAGCACCCCGAGGGTCAGGTGCGCGGTGACCGCCTCCACACACGCTTTCTGCAGGTGCGGGGAGTGGCCTGCCAGGCTGGCATGCACCCGCTGGATGGCCGCCACAACGTCGGGGTGCTGCGACACCTGCAGGCACAGCCAGGCACGCGGCGGAGGGGAGTTGTAGAATGGTAATCTAGTCTGGTGACGGCGCAGCTGGTCTGGGGAGTGCATGGGAGCATCATGCCGGCCGCAGGTCACCACACAGACCTGCAGAGCCAGAAAGTGGTTGGGGTGGGGCTGCGGCGGCCGCTTCTCCTTCGTGTGGCGCTGTCGCTGCGGCTGCTGGTCGCCGAGGCCGCCTGCTGGGCCTCCTTCTGTTGCGCCGGGGTCCACCCCGGCACGGATGGCCAAGGGAGTGGCAATCATTGCACGGCCCTGCACCAGGCTCCTGCCGGTGCCCTGCGCTGCGGGCGCCGCCGCCCCGGGCTCCACCCTGAGCGGGCACAGTCGCAGTAGCGTGGTCCTGCATCGCAACACGCTGAAGATGCTCAGAGCAGCAGCGCCAGAGGCCTCCGCAGAGAAGGAGGCGGAAACCCAGTCACGGATACGCACCTGAAGTGGCAAAGGCGCAGCCCCATGTGCTTCGGGGGTGCGCCGAGGCAGTGGCGAGTGCTGCCAGCATCGCCAGCGGGTGTTTTGCATCGGCAGGGGTTGTGCTGCCACGTGTGGCCAAGCGGCGCCATGTCAGCACTGGCCAGGTTTCAGAAAATTGCTGGAATTGAACAGATCATTATACATGTTTCATGGCTCTAACTCAATCAAATATGCCATGATCGTACAAGCAGCCTGGGAGCCCGGCAGGCCGCCGCGCGCTGCGGCACCAAGGCTAACCGGCCGGGTTTGCTCGCCTCCCTGCCGCCGCCCTCGGCTCGCCCCTCAGCCAGCCAGCCTCACCCCGCCCTGCCGTACACGGCGTTGGGTATGCGCAGGCCCTCCTCTATCGCGCGCTGGTCGCCGCGGGGCGGCCCCTGCCCCGTCACCTCGTTGCCCACCGTCACCCAATAGTCCCGCAGGTTGTTCTTGCGCCCAAAGATCTCCAGATACTTGCCTGCAAGCAGTACAGGCGAGGCACGGGGCAGGGACGCATGGCAGCAGGCAGTGTGATGGCGGCAGGCACCAGCCGGGAGCGCTGACTGGCCTGCCCCTGAAAGGGACGATGCTGTCCAGCCTGGGCAGGCCGCGGCATGCCAGAGCACGCCGCCTGCCGCAGCGTGGTCAGGCGGCGACAGCATGCGCAGCTGGCAGCCAGCGTGGCGGTGCCCACCGTTGGGCACCAGCTTCTCTATGAGCTGGTAGATCTCCTCAGGCTTCTGGCTCTGCCCCCGCCGCTCGCTGCACACCAGCAGGCGGGGCAGGCGCAGGCGGGGGCCACACACGGGTTGGGCAGCAGCGGCGGAGCCGGCCCAGGCAGGGCGGCAGCGTTTCGTGGCAGGCCATGCTCCATGCTCATGCATGTCCCGCCTTCCTCCTGGCCAGCCGGCAGTGCGGCAAGGACCCGCCCCACCCGTCCCTTGAACATGAGCAAGGCTGCCAGCCTACACCAGCCCCACACCCTGGCCCAGGCCCTGCCCCAGCCCTGGGCCCAGGCCCCCTCCCGTGCATCACCTGTAGATGATGTCTGAGCCCACGCCTCCCCGCATGCCGGGCGGGTCGTCTCCCTTGCGCGCCACCAGGCACACCTCCTTGGCGTGCTGCAGGTAGAAGCCGTGGCTCTTGGCCAGCCGCCGGTTCACCGTCATCTTCACCCACACCACCTCATCCACCAGCCTGGGCAGGGCAGGGGGGCGGCGCAGGGCACGAGGAGGATGGGAGGGCGGCGATTCCCTGCACGCCGCCTCCACATCTGGCGCACCCCACCCCTTGTGGCAGGGCCGCGCCTACACGCTGCCCAGCCTCTCCCCTGGCTGGCCCCCGCTGCGCCCCCGCCGGCGCGTCCCGCAAGCATGCCAGCGCGTGGCCATTCCGCCGCCGGCCCCAGGGCCCCTCCTGCCAGCAGCCCCCGCAGGCCCCGCTCACTCATAGCCCCATTGGTCAAAGAGGTCCAGGCAGAACTGGTACTTGGCGTTGATGACCCACACAAACAGCAGCCCGTTCTGCTGCAGCTTGGGGATGGGCAGCTGCGCAATGTGCTGGTCGGTGAGCTGCAGGGCGGGAGGTAGGGTCAGGGTCAGGGTCAGGGGCTGGGGTGCACGAGGGCGGCAGCCGAACGGCCCGCGCTGCATGGGCGGGACAGGGCCGGCGAGGGCGCTGTTCGAAGGCGCGCCAGCACACTCGCGGCCGCGCACAGACCAGCGGACGTGGCACATGCCATGCACGCGCGCCGCGGAGCAGGGGCAGGCCAGCGCCAGGTCAGCGCCAGGCACGGCAACTGGCCTGGCTGTAGCCCAGGGCCACGCCGCGGGTGGGGTTGGCTGTGGCCAGCTGCCAGGGCGGGTCCATCATGACGACGTCAAACTGCGTGGCGCGTATCAGGCGGCTCCAGTCGTACGTCGTCACGTTGGCGTGGATGGGGATGCAGTGCGGCGGCACCTGCAGGCGACGGGGGGGGCGGCGAGGCAGTCATGCGTGCGAGGGTGGCGTCGGGAGCGAGGGGTGGGAGGCCGAGGGGAGGCAATGTGCGGCAACAGGGCCTAACAGGAGGCAACATGTGGCAGCAGGGCCTAGCAGGAGGCAGGCAGGAGGCCCGGCATCTCATAAGGTGCACCAGCCATTTTGAGCATCCCCACCTACAGCCCCACAGCTCCTCCCTACCTGCCACTCCGAGGGGTCTAGCTCTTCTACGGAACCGTACCGCCAGTCCACACCCTCCACACCCTCCTGCCCCTCTGCATCCCCGGCCTCCTCCTCCCCCGTGTCGACGCCTGCATGAAGGGAAAGGATGGGTCAGGGAGGAGTGGGCACAACCACTGGTGGGCGGTCACAACGTGGAACCCGCTGCCGTCAGCTGGCAACCGGCGGCGGCAGGGGCGGCGGCCCAGGCAGAGAAACGGCCCGCTCCATGATGCTTCCCACGGCACGCCGGCATCGCCCTGGGCCTCTGCACACCTCCCACTCCCCCCCAACCAGCTGCGATCAGTTTGGCACTGCCGCTCAAACGCCAGAGCCCCACCTAGGCGCTTGAGCTCCTCCAGCACATCCGACAGTGCGGCCTTGTACTTTTGGATCTCCGCCTCCAGCGCAGCGGCGTCAGAGGCCTCCCACGTCTGCCGCAGGGCGGAGGCCTCGGCCTGCAGCAGCCTCTGCACCGAAGGCAGCTGGGGTAGGTCCAGCACGGCCGGCATGGCGATCAGAGGGCGCTCCAATGCTGCGCAAAGTCCAGGCGGCGCGCCGAGGCCGGCCCCAAGTTGCACGCCTTCCTGATCCCGGGCCGGTGGCCGGATGAATGGGCTGCCAGCGCGATGCATTGTTTGCTGCGAGCGTCTGGATTGCTTACCGGGGCCTTGCTTGGGCATCCAGAGCCGCGGGCAGCGCCATCGCACAAGCACAAGGGGAACAGCTGGGCACCATGAACCTGGCTGCGGCGGCCCAGCGGGGCCTGGGACGGCCGATGGCGGCCCGCAGCACATCAGCAGCAGCAGCAGCCTCGCCACAGCAACCCGCCCGGGTGCTGGTGTCGGCGTGCAGGCCTGCCAGCGCGGTGCAGGCGCCTAGGCTTGCCTCCGTCAGCCACATCACAGGTGCGCAGGGCGGGGGACAGCGGCAGCGGGCCGCAGCCGGGGGCCAGTCACGGGGGTGATGGCCTTTCCGCCTGCCGCCGCCTGCCGCCGCCGCCGCAGCCTACTGCAGCTCCTTGAGCCGTGCCCTGCTCCCATTTAGCCTTCCGCCACCCACGCACGCACACCTGCAGGCAGCAGCAGCCTGCTGGCCGGCGGCAGCGGGCAGCGGCAGCAGCGGCGCGGCACGCGGCGGCAGCAGCTAGGCGTGGCGGCGCGAGCGCGCGACCCCGACGCCCTCGAGGACTCTGAGGACCCCGAGGCAGCCAACAAGGACCCGCCCTCCCTCTTCTGGCGCTGCTTCTCGGCCATGTGCTACCTGGTGCCCTGGATTGACAGCATCTCCCTGGGAGGAGCCATGTATGGCAAGTTCCGCAACCTCCTCTACATCTACTTCGCCCCCGGTGGGTGTGGCACGGCCGGCCGGCCGGCAGCCAGCAGCTAGCTTGCCTGGTGGCGCCGGCAGGGCAGGCAGGGAGACGCAGTGGCGCGCAGGCAGGGAGGCACAGGCAGCCAGCCATATCCAGCAGGCAAGCAGGGGGAGCAGCGGCCGGGGGTGTGGGCCGGGCGCCAACGCTCATGCATGCCCCTCCCGCGCCGCCCTTCCGCCCTGCAGGCCCGCTGGCGCTCATCTACTTTGGCTCCCAGTTTGCGCCGCTCATCATCTTCTTTGTTATGTTCCTGTCAATCGTCAAGAACAACAAGCTGCACCACTTTGTGCGCTTCAACTGCATGCAGGCGAGCGCCGGGCTGCGTGCCCGCCGGGCTGCGTGGCTGCTGGGCTGTGTGCATGGCACATGTGGTGGTGGGGTGCTGGCTAGCCAGGCCCGCCCGGATGCGTCGGGCGAGCAGCCACAGGCTCCGGCGCTGCATCGCTCGCGCGCGAAGCCCTGCCTCGCCCGCCTACCCCTCGCCCACCCATTTACGGGGGCTCCCTCGTGCACCAACCCTCCTGCACGTGTGTGCATGTGTGCTCGTGTGTGCGCCCTGCAGGCCATCATGCTGGACATCGTGGTCATGCTGTTTCACATCCTCCGCGCCTACCTGCCCTCGGAGCTCAAGTGGTCCGTCATCGGCCAGTACTTTGACATGTTTGGCTGGACCTGCTGCATGGGCACCGTGCTGTACGCCGTCTTCTGGACCGTGCGGTGAGCGCATCGCGCCTGCTGCGCCTGCTGGGGTGGCTGCGCCTGCTGGGGAAGCTGCCAACTGCTGTGGGAGGCCGTGCTGGCAGGCGGCCGCCCGGTGCTGTGACGCGGCGCACAGCGCGGGCGCCGCTGCGCCCCTGCGCCCACGTGCCGGCCTGCCATGCATGCATCTGCCCCCCCCCCCGCGCTCGCTCGCCGGCCCTGCATCCTGCTGCTGCCTTGCGCCGCCCACACACTGCCGGCTCCTGCCCCCGCTGCCTGCCCACAGGGGATACTACTGTGACATACCCTTTGTCTCGGAGTCGGTCTACCACCAGGTGCAACTGTCGGAGTATGCATGAGGGCGGCGAGCAGCGGCCGGCGAGGCGCGGCGAGCACCCAGGCCGGCGCTGCCACGTCGCCATGACTCTACCGGCCGCTGCCCCGCCATGCCTGGTCGCGCCCACTCCACTGCTCAGCTTGCAAGTGAACCGCGCTGGCAGAGCAAAGCTAGCCCGCCCTCCCAGCTGCCTCTCTCGCGCTTTTTTCGTGCTCTTCCTCTCGCCCCCCTCTTCCTTTCTCCAGGCAGCTGCCTCAATCACCCCACTCCCATTCCCCTGCTGCTCCCTCCTTGCCTCCTGACTGCCGAGCACATCGCCATCCGTTTAACAGGCGGCCAGCCAGCCTGGAACATGCTTACAGCCTGACAGGACTTTTGCTCAAGCAAGCAGCTGCATGAAGATGAGGGTGTGCGCGTGTTGGGACTGCGATTGTTTCAAGAAAATACAAGGTATAAGGATGCCGGCACCTGGAGTACGTGCCGCAATAAGTTGAGGGGGAGAGAGGGAGGCATAGCTGGGTGCTTGAGCGAAGGGAGCGCATCAGAGCTGGAGAGAGGTGAGCAGCGAAATGCGAGGTGTAGGGTGGGGGAGATGATGGCTGGTAAGGGACCAGCCATGATGCGCTGCGGCTTCAGTTTGTAGGATAGCTTGGAACACATGCAACGGTGCTGTAGTGCTGTTGGCAGGCGATCACAGGCTCCGGGGGCTGCACCCCTGGCGCCGGCCGCCTGGCAAAGGAAGACAACAAGGCTGAGATGTGCTGCCGGGCAAAGGGTCCGGCAGGCTGGACAGGTTGGCAACGGGGGCAAAAAAGGCCTTCAGGCGCAGGCCCGATGCCGAGCTCGCCCATAGAAAAGAAGAAAGGAAAGGATTGGGAAGGGGAGTGCAGTTGACACACATGGGAAGAGCGTGGCAGTGTGATACTAAGGAAGTGGCAAGAGGATAGGGGGTCACGACTCGCAGGCCACTCAAGGGGTGCCTACAGGTTGCAGCGTAGCAGCGGGGGCCCGCCCCACACGAAGCTGCGCGGGCTGCGGCCCCGCATCAGGAGGCTACGCGCGCTAGGGCGCCGGAGGCGGGGCGCTGTGCTGGGCCGCGCCGCTCACGCGCCGCCCGCGGGCGGCTGCGGCGCTGCCGCCTGCTGCGGCCTCCGCGCCATCAGCTGCGCGCGCACCTCATCCACCACCTGCTGGGCGTCGGGCCTGCACGGCACAGCAGCGGGAGTGGCGGGAGGCTGGGTCAGCACGGCAGCATTCCCCGCAGGCGCCAACGGCGGCGTAGGGGAGTGGCATGCCGAGCGCGGCTGCTGCAGCAGGGAGGCGCCAGCCCAGGCGCCCGCCCACCTCAGCAAGGGGTCGTGGCTCCAGCAGCGCTGCATGAGGTCGGCCAGCGCGGGCGGGCAGTCTGGCGGCACGTCGGGGCGCACGCGGTGCTGGGACACCTGCGCCGGGCAACGGGCGACAGTGGTTTGGTGTGGTGTGGGCGCGATGTGTGACGGGTGACGAGTGGGGCTGCTGGGCAGGGCAGGGAGGGGCTGCCGGAGCCAGCTCAGGGCTGCGACGTGCGGCCCGGCCCGGCCCGGCCTGGGCTGGGCAGCGCCGCGCGGGCCTCCCTCCTCCACCTGCCGCCGCCCCTCCCGCTCACCTGCAGGATGACCTGCATGGCAGTCAGGCCCGGGTACAGCTCCTCTCCCGTCAGCAGCTCCCAGATGATGATTCCCAGGGAGTAGATGTCTGCGGCCTTGGTCAGCTTGCCCTCTGCCAGCAGCTCGGGCGCGGCGTACGAGGCGGTGCCGTAGCTCTGCGTCTCCACATGGCTCTCCTCCTGCCCCAGCATGCGACTCAGCCCAAAGTCGCCCAGCTTGCACACAAAGCCGCGGCGGTCGTTGCGTGCCGCCTTGAGCAGCACGTTGGCGGGCTTGAGGTCGCCGTGGATCTGCAGGGGAGGGTGGGGGGTACAAGGGCAGGCGAGGGGTCAGGGGAAGAGGAAGGGAACTGGAGGACACAGGCTGGCATGGGGGCATGCTGCTGCTGCTGCTGCTGATGCAGCAGCGGCAGCGGAGGGAGGCACGGGGCGCTGCCGGTGGTTTGCCGGCGGCATGCGGCGCGTGACAATGCAGCCGCCCTGCGCCGCCGCTCACGATGGTGTTGGAGTGCAGGTACTCCAGCCCCTGGGCGATGTCCAGCAGGCAGAGCAGGAGCCAGATGGGGCGCTGCTGCGCGTCGGCGGCGGCCAGCTGGCCCCGCGCCAGCAGGTCCGCCAGGCTGGCGCGGTCGCAGTACTCGCACACCAGCCAGGTCTCGTACATGCTGCAGCGGGTTGGAGGGGGCGGGCCAGGGGGAGGGGTGAGCGGGGAGGGAAGCGGCGAGCAGGCCTTGTGGCCGGGCGGATGAGCAGCGGGGGCGAGGCTGCGGGCCGCGCCAGCCGGGCCGCGTGGCGCCGGCCGGGCAACAGGGAGGACGCAGGGGATGTAGGCAGGCGCTGCGCCGGCGGCTCACCCCGGCTGCAGCACCGCGCCGTGCGACACGACCTCCACCATGCCGTCGCCGCCCAGGGCGGGCACGAGCTGGCCGCCGGCGGAGCCGGACGCCGACCCCGACCCGCTCTCGCTGGGGGGCTTGGAAGCTGAGGAGCCGCCCGGGGACGGCGGCTCGGCGTCGCCGTCCTCGTCCGCGGCTGAGACCACCCTCACTACGCACATCTTATGTGTGATAACCACCTGCGAGGGAGGCGGGACGCAGCGAGCGAGGGGGTCGGCGAGGGGCGCTGGGCGAAGGGGTCAGGGAGGCGGGCAGCTGGCGCGGGCCCACGGGCGTCTGGCCTTCGCTGTAGAGCAGGCGGAGGAGGGAGATGTGGGGCGGGCGGGGGGGGCAGGGCGCGGCCCTTCTGGGGAGTCTCACGTTGGGGTGGCTGACGCTCATGCTGAGCAGCGGCTCGCGGGACAGGTCGTGCGTCTTGCCCTGCTGCACGCGGTGGTCGATGACCTTCACCGCCACCACCGCGCCCTTCCAGCGCCCGCGGTACAGCGGGCCAAAGGGCCCGCGCCCCACCGGTCGGCCCAGTTGACGCCGGTCAATGGGGCCAAACGGGGGCCGCATGAAGGGGCGGTTGACCCCCCCGAAGGCTGGCCCCGACATGGCCAGCTGTTCGTGGTGGGAGGCCAGGCTGGAAAGCGCGCCGCTGCCGAGGGAGTGCAGCTCTGCCACGGAGCCGTCCTTGGACAGATGGCCGTGGCAGCTGCCGCCCAGCTTCCCCTTCTCCAGGTCCCCCGAGTCGGCGCGCCCCGCGGGCAGGTGCAGCACCTGCTGCGCGCGGCGGCGGCGCCGCCACAGCACAAAGGCCGCGGCGGCCGCCGCCAGCGCCACGACGCCCGCCACGCTGCCCACCACCGCCCACACCCAGGCGGGGGTGCCGCTGCCGGCGGGGGGCTGGTAGGCGGAGTCAAAGCAGGTGATGTTCATGTCGTTCAAAAGGTAGGCGGCCGTGCCGACTGCACCAGATCGGGGTTAAGGGCACGCGATGATGATCAGGCGGGGCAAGTGGCATGCAGGCCCAGCGCGCCAGGCAACCACGCAAGCCGGGCGCCGGCCGGGGCGGGCGGTCACAAGACGACAGCCGCGGCGCGGCCCCGGGCCTCCTGCCGCCAACCTGCCCGCCAGCCATGCCTCACCCTGCTGCTTAGTGAGTGTGTCGTAGAGCGGGGCGGGGACGGCGACCTGGTGGTATCCCGTGGTGGTACCGCCATAGTAGGTCACCGCCTCGCTGCTGTGCATCTGCTCCTGGATGCGCGCCACTTCCACCTGCACCGCCCGGCACCGCTCCCAATCAGCACCCGCAGCAGCGCGGGCGGCAGCACCGGCGGCAGCAGCGCGGGCGGCAGCACCGGCGGCAGCACCGCGGGCGGCAGCACCGGCGGCAGCAGCGGCAGCAGCAATGCAGGGGTGTGGCGCGGCAGCTGGAGCATGCAGCTGACAGCAGAGGCCACGACCGTTCCACAGCATGACCAGACGCCTAGCCCAGCCCACCTGCACAAACGACGGGTTGCACATCGCTGTGTCCATGGCAACCTCGCTGCGGTCCACCACCACGCTGTGGCCGTCCTCCCCGGTGACTGTGGGCCACAGCGGCGAGCGCTTGACCTCCACCTCCAGCTGCTCGATGCCCTGGGTGCGGTTGCCGGGGTCTGCACGGCACGGTGCGGCGCATGGGGAGTGGCGGCGTCTCAGCGGCAGGCGCCCGTGCGGCGCGGCACGCCGTCACCCTCCAAACCCCAACCCCGAACCGCCCCTCTGCAGCCCCGGCCGCCAGCTGCCAGCCCTGCCGCGGCTGCTCCTGCACCAAGGCCGCCGCCAGCTGCGGCCAGCGTGGCAGCGCCAGCGCACGCACTTCGCGAGTCTATCCCATTGAACGCCAGCGTGGTGTTGCTAGTGACCTCCAGCAGGCCGACCGCGGAGCTCCAGTCAATCATCTTCTTGAAGATGGAGGAGTCTGCGGAAGCAGGCGCAACAGGGGCTGTCAGCACCCATGCAGTCCTGGGCTCGTGGCGGAAGCCGCCCCAGGGGGGTGCGTGTGGCGACGGCGCCTGCCCTCGCTGCCAGCCTCCTCCCGCTGCTCACCAGAGCGGAGCAGGATGGTCTCGCCGGGGGCGTCTATGACTATGGGCAGCTCATACATCTGCCAGTCCTTGGGGCTGATGATAATGTCGTCTGCAAGGAGGGTGGCGGCAAAGGGCGGGTCGCGGCAAAGGACCCCCGGCAGAGGCGGCGCAACACCTTGGGTTGGCGGCGCTGGGTCGGCCAAGACCAGCGGCCTGAGGCTCACCGCACAGCATGATATCGCCCGTGTTGTTGAAGAGGGCCGCAAGCAGGAAGCTCCCGTTCACGACGGCAACAGTGGCGCCCTCCTTGAGGGGCGCCCAGGGGCCGTCTGGTGGGCGGCGAGCTGCCAGGGCCCCGGGAGCTGCAGCCGCCAGCCAGAGCAGCGCGCCGAGCCACAAGAGGCGGCCGCGGGCCGTCATGCTGAGTGACTCGTCGCTGGGAGGCGCTTCCCGGCGCTTCAAACTTCCACTGGAGCTGCCACGGGCTCGTTAACTGGCAGTCAGGTGCTCGAATGGGCAGGCATGGTCAGGGGGTCCGTGGTGTGGAAGGCGTCCAAGCCCTGTAAAACACCAGCCACCAGCTGCGCTGGTCTCAGTGGGCTGCGAGGGCGCGAGCGGGCCCTGAAACCCCATGGGTTGAGTTCCGTCCGACTTTCCACGAGGACCTTCACGCGCCTCCTGGCCTGCAGGCTCCGCCTACCCCACCTCGATGCTCTCCCGGGCATGCATGGAGGAATGGGCCAGCCGTCGGCGGCATCTCCGGCAACGGTCCTGTCAGGGTCATGGGGCACATATGGTGGCCATCTCAGCCTGCAGCCCCTCTGGCGCCACACGCCTCCTTCCAGCACCAGCGTGCCTTACCCTCGATTAGCACGCGGGACGAAGCCCCTTACACATGCCACATGCGGCGGCGGGCAGCGGCGGCAGACCCCCAGGAGGAGCCGGGCCGCCCAAGCAGAAGCCAGCAGAAGAACCCCAGCGGATCTGTGCCTGACAATGAGGCCACATGATGCCAACCGCCGAGTGTGTCACATAGAAGGCAGGCAGGCGAGGCTGCCGACACACGGCTTGGTGACCAATGCGCATCTACGGGCAGAGTGGCAGACTGTGCTTTGGGGGAATGCTAGGAGCCAGGAAGCAAAGAACAGCAAGGGAAAGAGCAATGAGGTGGAGGGAGCCGGGGTGGTAATACAGCAGAAATGTCGTCGTCAGTGGCAGCCAGGGGGCGGCTGCCAGGGGGCGGTCGGGCCGAGTGTGGGGCGTAAGCTCCGGTGGCCGGCCACCCAAAAGCCAGGCACCTACTTCATGCGGTGCACCAGGCGCCGCTCCCGCCGGTACTCAAAGTCCCCGGTGGTCTGCAGGAACATGAGTCCCTTGCGTACTAGGTTCTCGTTGAAACCCACCCTGCGTGGCACGTGGCGCGGGTGGCAGATGGTGCGGGCAGGGATTGTTGCACAGGAGCAGGCGCACAACACTTGCAGGCGTGCTCGCTGGTGCCTGCGTGCTACTGGAACGGCCCTCTGCCCTTGCATGACTGGGCCCCCAGCCCACCGGACCCAAGCGCCCCAGCCAGCCCCACCTGACCAGCTCATCCACCAGCTTGCGCTCGCTCACAAAGCTGCCGATGGCCACCCGCCGCTTGATCTGCTCCTCCACGCGGTGGATCTCCTGCCTGCGCCACGCCACAACCACGCACAGGGGCACACACGCAAGTGAGAGCAGCCGCGGGGGTGCAGCCTGCGGCCCACAGTCAGCACGCGCCGGAGGCCAGGTGGCGGGCTCGGCCGCTGGCATCGCGCCGGGGCGCGCCCAGCCCCCGGCGCCACCCTCCCAACAGTGCTGGCCCTGCCCCAACTCCCTGCCTTGCCCTCCAGCCCTGCGCTGCCCTGCCCGCCACCCACCGCTGCTCGTCTGTGAACACCGCCACATCCATGAGCCCGCTCTTCACCGCATCCATGGTGGAGATCTTGAACAGCTCCAGCGCCTGCCGCACATGCGCCTCGGTGGCCACAGTCTGCGGGTAGGCGGAGGAGGAGCAGGCACGTGTGTGTGTTGTGGTGGTGTGGTGTGTTTGCATGTCAGGGTGAAGAGGGAGGGGGGTTGGGGGATGCGGGATTCAGAAGTCCAGGGGCTCAGGAGGTGGGGGGCAGCACACGGGTGCCCCAAACAGGCGCCAGCAGACCGCGCCGGCGCTCGTTTGTGCTCCTGCCAGTCGCCATTCCCGCCCACACGGACCCAGCCCCTCTCGCACGCACCACAGAGCACAAATTGAAACAACATTACTTGAGGAGGCTCCCACCTGCAGGTTCATCTTGGCCAGCGACTCTGCGATGCGGATCACCGCCTCCAGCTGGCGCACCGTCACCGGGATGGCGGGGATGTCGGAGCCGTCGGCGCTGGCGGCGCGCTTGCTCTGCAGGGCATGACGTGTGTGTGTGTGTGTGTGTGCGCGCGCGCGCGCGCGCCAGCTTGAAACGGGCAGGATAGGGAGCGTGCTTTGCAGCATGGCTGGGTCAATGCGGTCTCCAGACGGTTGCAGCACGAGGCACCGCTGGCAGGCAGCCCTGCCGCCCACACGCCCGGCAGTCCAGCCGCCCCAGAACCGTGCCCGGCCGCCACAATACAGCCCCCAGCCCACCAGGCGGCGGCCTCACCTCTGCCCGCAGCTCCACATACTCGTTGGCTAGCAGCTTGGCGGCGCTGTCGGTGATGCGCGGGCTGCAGCTCTGGCGGCAGTACTCGATGTACCGCTTCAGGAAGGCCTCCTCCTGCAGTACCGAGCGGTACAGCAAGCAGCGGCACGGTGAGGCACACGCACAAGCATTGCCGCAGAGCTTGGAGCGCCCTCTATGGTGTGGAGCAGAAGGGTGGGGTGGCGAGCGGCAGACCTGGGGCTCCCGCCAGGGCTCCCAACTCCCAGAGCACAGCGCAGAAGCCTCCTCACTCACCCGCTTCTCCTCCTCGTCAGCCTCTGGCTGCGCGCCCGCCAGCCGGTGCACATCCAGCACGTGCCTGGCAATCTGCGCTCAGGCGCAGCGGCGGCGGCGGCGGCGGGGGCAGGGGCATGGTGGGAGGCAGCGCAGCTAATGGGGCAAGCAGCGCGCCACGGGTCTGACCGATTTCCCTGCACCTGCCCGCCAGCAGGCAGCCGAGCGCCCTGCACCTCTTTGGGGCGCCGGCGCCCTCACACACTCGAAACAATCCACATCCCAGTCCGCCAGTGAGGAGCTGCAGCTGCAGCTGCACCGCCCTGGCGCCCTACAGGGCAGGCGGGGCGCCCCACCTGCATGTCGCGCTCCACCGACCGCTCGTCCTTGACGATGAAGATCAGGTCGAAGCGGGAGAGGATGGTGGACTGTAGGTCGATGTTCTCCTACGGCAAGAGGCGGGATGGGCGGGGCGGGGAGTGGGGAAGGTAGGGGAGAGAGGGAGGGAGGTGAGTGGGCGCAGCCAGCGGCGGAAGGGGGAGGGGTCCCCAGCACATGCAAGCGGGGACGGCGAGGGCGCATGGACAGGGGGCTGGCAGGCCAGAGCCTCTGTGTCATGACACAGCGAACCCGCCCAGAGCATGCGTGCCCCCTGCAGGCCTCAGCCCACGTGCCCAGCCTCAAACCTCCAGCCGCCCCACCTCCACCCTCGCACCCACCACCACCACTATGTCCACCCTCCTCGCCCCCGCCCATCCACACACACACACCACAAACCTGTGCCGACTTGAGGTCATCGTATCGGCCCGAGGGCGGGTTGGCCGCCGCAAGGACGCTGGTGCGGCTCCGCAGCATGGTGGTGATCCCCGCCTTGGCGATGGAGATGGTC